AGTATAGTGTTTGAGTAGATAAACGAATGATCAAAAACAGTAAAAAAAAGCATTTTATTTATGAGTAGCAATACAAAGAATGTGAAAATCAGTAGGTAGTAAAGATATCTCTGGCAGCTAGGTCGATACTTGGTTAGGCACATAATCTACTAAAAGTTGCCAGTGTTCCTCTGCAGTAGATTATGCTATGAATGGAGCAACTGTCAGCGAGTTGGGGCGCATTTGTACACAGCTGAATTTGCCAACCCAACATGTCCCAAACATGTTCAATACGCGACTAGTCTGTAGACCTGGCAGGCCAGTTGTGGACATTAACACATCAAAAATATTGTTGGAAAAGTTGTGCTGCATATAGCTGAGCATTGTCTTGCTGGAAAACAGAACCTGGATGACCTGCTAGCATAGGCAGTATGATCAGTTATAAGTGTTATCAACATACTTGCAAGCTGTCGGAGTACCTTTCAGTATGACTAATGATGAACAGCTGTCACATTCTATGTTCTGGCTGTGTACTGCTGGGTAACAAATGGTATATTATACTGTTCATCTCTCTCCAGACATGTATGCAGTGGTATCAGTAATAAGAGAAAATCATGACTCGTCTCTGAAGATCACATTTCTCTGACCAGACAATGTCCAGATTGAGCGAGAGTGGCACCATGCTAGATGACACTGCTTATGATGGAATGCCAGTGGCAAGTGCCTTAATGGACATTGAGATCTGAGACCAGAGTCACTTGATCTTCTGCACATTGTATCTCTGGGGATTATCAAATTGCAATGAATTGATGATGCTGCAACTGTTGGTGCAAACATGGAAGATCTTCTAATTTTGAGATCATCTTGTACATTTGTGACCCGGAGGCATCAAGAGTCCCTATGGCAGCTGACTATGAGTTTACTGAGCCACTGGTTCCAACAACAGAAAGTGACCATATTGCTTTGACCAATATGCCAGCCAATTTGCCTGTTCGACCAACCGGCCTTATTTAGGCCTATAATACGACCCCTCTCAAAGTCTGACAACTCTTCATAATGCCACCGAGTACATCTTAAAGACATCTTTTGTTACAATACAATGTTTGACCACACATATTAACCCACACTTACTTTTCTTCAGGAGCTAACAATCTCAAAACTCCTCTCACACACATGTGTCATGTGTGCTGATGTTGTTTATGCAGAATGGTGAATGTGTTAGCATGAGAAATATGTAATATTTCATTTATACATGAGAAATAAGTAACATTTCTAAATGTCCATTTACTGTTATTCATTGTTCTTCTCAAATAACGACAAATGCTGCATTTGTCATAATATCATTTAGTGCACTACCAAGAATATCCAAATCACTTCGAAAATAAAACAAGGGCCTTTCTTAAATTATTCAAACCACCAAAATGGTGTTGATTATGGTAAAACATATTTGCTATATGCTTATTGCAGTATTTTATATACTTCTGAAGTGGATTTCAAAAACACAAAATTTCAAGGCTGCAGACAGCTCATATGAAAAGACTTCATAAGCAGAAAAGATATGTCTAGATTATTATTTGAAAACCTGACACTCTTGTATCAGGTTTTCAAATCTAAAATGTCTCAGTTCAAGAACAACTACAGAATATAATTCAAATGTTTTTCATAAATTAATACTGATAATGCAAATTTTTTTTATAAATTAATACTCATAATGCAAATGTTTTTCAATTATACACTTTACACAAGATATAACATTGACGTCTATTATCAGATTTATTTGCAATTCCACGCTTCTCCAAAAGACACAATACCTGAGCTGCTTGTGAAGATTTATTCTGCTGCTGTTTACTATGTTCATGATTAAAAAATAAATTCATTTGAATCTTTTTCAACTAGTCTATATAGATTTCATTTGTTGATACTTACTTGGTATATGCTAAATGTTATGCAAAAGCAAGTTCCTCAGGAAAAAAATTCAACTCAAGAAGATGCTAATTCATCAGTGAACTAGTGTTTAGTTACTTTGGACCAGCTAGGCTTAGCCCTATCCCAGTATAGCAATAATTTTTCTTTTCCCGAACATTGAAATAGCATGAATCAGAAGTCATAGAAATGTAGAAAAAATTTATAACAGCAATTAAGGCATGCCAAAGTATGGATGCGGAAAGTTTCAATAAAATGGCAAAGTCCAGATTTAGACAATATGTCAGTCAAAAGATAATTAAATATGGCAAAGTCCTAATAAAATGTAAAAATTGAAGAAGTAGATGATGAAGATCTGGTATTGGGTATATATATCTCCGAGAGCTGAGTGCAGTGCTGGTGGTGATGGCGAAAGTTCGAGGCTGAATGAAAGGGAGGTGTAAAGTTGTCGAGGTAGAAGCAGTGAAAGGAGCTGGTTGGCTCTGCAGGTGAAGGTTTGCTATTGGCTGTTGAAAAGCAGTTTATTGGTTGAAGTGTGATCAACAGTGTGCTAGGCAGAGGGACGAGGCTCTTTTCAGTACACACTAATTTAGAGGGATGGTCGCATGAGAAAAGGATGGAAGGGGGCATTAAAGATTAATGAATTTAAGGTTGCTTAAGAGATTAATTACCCAAATAATTTATTAATATTAATAAATTGGGTATTAATAAGCAGTGGTACTCAGTTACATAAAATTAATTATTACAATTCAATAGCAAATAAAGAAATATTAATATAACTACTTTCTTGTCATTTTTAGATTAGTTTTAAGGTAAAAGAAAATAAAAAGGAGTTATGTGCAGCTGTGGAGAAGATGCTAATTCTAGAATAAATTAAAAAAAAAAAAAAAAAAAAAAAAAAAGATGCAACCAACAGAAGAACCTAGTAAGTAATATGATCCCAATGATAGAGAGTATTTAAAACTTATTTTGCAGATGTTGAATAAGCAGTCTTATTTTTTTTAAAGAAATGTATGATCCATACTTTTTTTTAGTTTAAAAAAAAGGTGCAATAAAACAATAACATAGTAAGCAACCAATATGATCCCATGATAAAGTTTACTTAAAGCTTATTTTGCAGATCTGAATAAGCTGTCTGAAAACATTTTTAGGACTTTGCGCCTAAAAAATCTAATCTGTTCATCAGCAGCCCAATGAATTGAAAGAAAAAAAAAAAAAAAAAAAAAAAAAAAAAAAAAAAAAAAATTCTTGGATCTCTAGCAATGAGAAAAATATAAAACCAGCAATGTATGACTTCAGTTTTTTAAAGAGAGGTATGATGTTATAGCCAAAAAGATTTATTGTAAAGGAAGTACTGCCAGAATTGAAAATACAAATGCTTGGAGGATTGAAGTAGCTACTAAGCACATATAGTCATACAGCTCTAATGTTTCATTTAATGCTAATAAGGGGAGGGGGGAAATTAATAGTTTTTAAAAGTGAGAAATATATACAGAAAACCTGTTGAAATAGAAGATTATAATTCTTTTATATTACAACAGACTGGACTGAGAAAGGAAGACCTCTTTTAACACTGAAAAAAATTATGCTTTTGACAACAATGTAAATCACTTCCTTGAGACTATGCATTAAGTGGCAATGCTCTGATGACAAAAGGAGTTTTTATCACTTCAGAAACTGAAAAGAAAAGGAGAAAGATTTCTTTAAACAGATAAACTGTGTATATATTGATCTTCTGATAATAAGCAATACTTGTGTGCAATACTTTTCAACAACATCTCTGTAATTCTGTAGTTGTTCTTCAACTGAGACATTTTAGATTTGAAAACCTGATACAAGAGTAAATTAACATTTCTTTTTGGATTGCAGAATAATGAAAGACATAAAAGAAATGATGACATCAATTTCTTTAGTGCATAATCAGTCAAGATAATGATTGTAAACAACTAAATAAATATATGTAAAATTAAAACCTGCTAAATATCATTGCAATGTCATTTCATAAGATGAAGAGCTAGAATTAAAATTTCTGTAGAAATTCTGTTGCAATAACAAAATATACCTCAATTTTAAATAAGAGCATGATTACCTTATCACTAGTCAAGAACCTGCAATTTCATCTCAACTAACAGATGCAAACGTCAAAGACACAGTCAAGCACAAAAAACGAGAAAGAGGAAATGAATGAATGAATGAAAATGAAATGAAAAAGTATTGAAAAAGAGGAAATAAAAAAAGTACTGGCTAATAGTTGACTAATTAAGATACAATAACACGCCAAACAAATATTAATTTAAGTCAAACAACAAAAATCAGCGTTATATTTTCAAATTTTCACAGGCCTAGTTTCGATAGTTTTACCGAACCATTATCTTCAGCTGCAATCTTTATATCTTATCTCATTCATTTGCACTTTTGCAGATGAGGATGATAGTTCGGTAAAACCATCGAAACTAGTCCTGTGAAAATTTGAAAATATAACGCTTATTTTTGTTGTTTGACTTCTAAATTAATAGTAGTTGACTGCCTGAATCAAATAGGCATTTTCACTTGAACACAATCTATGCTCAGTTATAATTTCCCCTCTACATTTGCCTTACTTGCAAAACTATCTTTTATTTACTGTAACAAATAATCTTGTAAAAATAATAATAATAATTTACTGACTTCTTCTACGACTAAAATGAAATATCTTTGAAAGTTCCCCCCCTTTTAAAACTGATATTTCAGTTACATTATGTACTAAAAATGTAGTTTTGTACAAACTTTTGCTCTTTAAAACTTTCAATAAAATGAAATTTCATGACAAAGGCACATTTTCAGGTCATGCAAAGTTTCAGAAATCCCTTACTCAAACTCTCTATCTTTTAAATAAATTATACAAATCATACAGAATTCACTATTAGTTTCAATGAAAAAAGAACTCTTATGCATTTCGGATTACAAAGATAACGATTTGCCTCTTTCAGTTGAAAATATTATTTTGCCTAAAATGATTATAAAATAGTTCATAAGAATAAAAGTCTAAAGTGATCATTTTACAAATAAATTCAAAGAACAGATGCACTAATTTTAAAAGTGTTTTTTATTTTGCTTACTTCTCAATTATTATTGCTGGTGGTATATCTTCATCTGATTCCGATGACTCTTCATCAGATGTTTTCCTGGAACTCTTTTTCTTCTTCCTTTTTTTACTATTCTAAAGATTCAAATAATAAAAAATGAATGTGCAAGGGAAAAAAATCTATTTTATACATTGTTAATATTTCGAAAGAAAGATCAGGGAAGGTTTCCTGTTTTATATTTTAACATTTGTAGTTTCCATACCACTCACAAGTAATAGCGTATTAAGTTATTCAAATATGTACACTGCGCAAGAAAAAGGAGCGACAGTTTCATATCTCCCGTTTTACTGGGCCGATATGACGAAATTCAAATTGTATTTTTCATGTCTCGAAAACCCGACTTAGGATATGCATTAGATTTATATATAGCACTGTTCTAATATAGGTATTTTGACACAAAATCGAACTTTTTCTGAAATGACATGCCAGTCTTTTTCCATATTTCAATTCTACAACTCAAATTATGCCAAATTGCCAATTTTTTTAAAAATCATACAAGTAGTTTTTAAAAAATTAGCTCTCAAAATTTTAGCTCCTCAATGTTAATTCAGTTTGGTATGTATTTATTAGTATCTCTTTTTTTTACACTTATTTGACTCCTTCTTTCACAGTTCAAAATTTAGTTCATTTCAAATAAAATTCACCTTTTTTTAAAATTTGTATTTTTAAATAATTTTTATAAATTTTTCAAAAAACATTTTGAATTATAATCTATAAAAGTTTTACCATCATCTTAAAGAAGATGCATTTTGTAAGCATACCTGCAAAACATTAAAACTTTTTTATTCAATTAAATTAATTTAAAATGCAACTGATATACGAGGCCAAATGATTAAAAGAAGAAAAGAAATCACATATGCTGCTGAGCGGTTTTAAATAAAATGTTTTGTGGCTGCTAAAATTTCAAACTTTGCTTTTCCAAAAAATGAATAAAACAACAAATTAATAGCATTAATATTAATTATAAATGTTTTAATATTAATTATAAACGTTTTGGAAAATATATTATAATTAATTCATCTGTTAGAACATGTTTTAAGATTTTAAATAAAAGTTTGTAATTTATGTTTACTTACATTAACCAATGGAATAGCACCAGATTTACTTTATATATATATATGTGTGTGTAATGAAATTTAGTAATAAAATTTTTAAGAAATTTGAAATGATTTAATGACTGTATAGACAGCTTATATTCTTTAAATTGCGTTTTCTCAATTTGCACTTTTTAGATAAATCCTATTATTTAAAGTTCTAAAACTTATATAAATATGGCTTAAATTATTTAATATTTTTACCACTTAATTAAAATTATATACTTTAGAAAAATAAGAATGGGTTTTGCAAAATACTGAAAAGAAAAATGATTTGAAGTGGAAATGTGATTGAGATCATATTTGTTTAAAAGTTTTGCATAAAAATGTATGTTTATTTTTCCTCAGAAACTAATTCATTAATTACAAAATCGATCCTTTAAGTTATTAAGAACTTTATTATAATGAATAGAATAAGAAAATATGGGGGAAAATGATTGAAAATTGTAGGAGAAGAATGACATTTTAATTGTTAAACATTTCTTCCAAAAATTTAAAATAATAATAAAAAAAATACTGCCAAAAATTTTGCCAAAAAAAGCTTAAAATTATTTTGTTTTAAAAAACCCTTTAATAACATTCCTAAAAGTAGAAAAAGTTCTTAAATAAAAAAAAGCATTCAAAAGGTAATCAGTCCCCGTGTCGAGTTGAAGCCAATATGCGCGTCTTTAGTTTTAATTTGAATGGTATTTCTGGAATACCTAGGATCAGTTAACCTTGTCTGTACTTGTTTACAAATTTCCTTATGGTTCTATGTAATTTTTTTGGATGACATCACATTCTTAGGTATCTACCAACGCAATTGTTTCTTTGACAGTCCAGCAAGCAGTCAGTTATTTGCACGTCAGCCATGTTGTTTTTTAAAATTAAGTGAACTGCGCAATCGTGCAGTGCAGTATAGGAAATTTCCCCATTTGCCCTGCAACCGAGAGATAGGAATGTTCTACCTCCAATTCCGAGAAGCAGTTAGTGCTTGTCGCCGTGATAATGGGCCACGTTGGAAGAACCAGTTTTCACTACCGGTTGAATCTGCTCTTGTTAACGGGGCTTAGGTGTAATTTCTGGAGACCCTGGTGACTATTTGTGTGGAAAACAAGAACTGAAGATATGGTTATTAGGATATGTTGACTGCAACAATTACCAGGTAAGACCTATCAAGAGGCATTTCGTGCTACAAGAATGTTACACTAGGATGTACATGCCTTTCTTGAAGAAAGGGATTGATTTTGTCTCTTAAAAGCAATACATAATGCTCGACTGTGATAGAAATAGCTCAAAATCTTTCTGTGGGTTTCCTCAAAATGGGGTCTATAATGAATAAAGCAGTGAGCCTGAACCATGCTGTAATTTTTTTCAACAGAATTTCTACAATCATGTACATATATATTTCCCCATTTATCATATCTCTTATCCAGATGCAATAGCTGCATGATTTTCCATTTCAATTGAGCAAAAAGTGCACTCCATTAATCCATAACACATTTGATAGCCATTCTACATTTGCCATATGTTGAAAAGCTTAAATTGCAAATTCAAGATGTTTTTCAAAGATGCTTGATGAGTTTCTAGCAAATGTGTTATGGGATGTATATTATATATTAATATTATAATTATGTTGGATTTTATATGGATATATCCTGACAATGATCTTGAGTATGTTTGTATGAAATACCAGTTCTCTGAGCCACTACAGCACCACCTGCTGGGAAAAAATATAACTATTCTGGCAATAAAAGCTTCCATTATTTAAAAAAATTTTATGTCTTTCTATGAAACCTCATATCAAACACATTGTATACCATCTGGGCTTTTTGAATTATTAAATTTTTATTTTTTGTGTTATATTTGGATCATCAAGTATATACATATTTTCATAAATTAAGAGACAAAATTTTTTAAATATAATATTCAGAAAATTCTGTTTTTATTACCTTATGCTTGTGTTTATGTTTGTGCTTATGTTTCACCTTGTGTTTTGAATGCCTGTGAGATTCAGTTCTGGCAGAATTAGAACTTGGAGTACCTGAAAGAAAACGAATTGAATTTACAGTTTAAAAATATTTCAATTAGGTAATTGATTTTAATATGTGTATTTCAAGACTTTATACATACTGCAATAATTAGGAGGGAGTTCAGGTCCATAAAATTCATCAGGTAACTTTGTTACATATTGTGAATCATGGTCAATGCTTTCTTTGGCATCTTTAATATTTAGTTTTTCAACAAAAGTTTCAGACTCTTTTGTTTCGGAATTTTTTGTGAAAGAACTTTCCTTAACTCGAGTTCTTTGGTTTAAAGTATCTAAATCTAAGTTTTCAAAAACTCCCAAACCAATTCTTTTGTTGAATGAAGAGGTTTTAGATCTTGTTGTGCCATTGTTATTAGAAGTTACAGTCATTTTATCACAGATGACTGTATTTTGGGAAGATACCAAAGATGTGGACTGCACCTCTGTTTCTGGTCCAAAAGCCGACTCTTCTTTTCTTTCTTGCTTAGCATCTAAATTTTCATCTTCTGAAGAAGAATTTTCAAATATATCTTTGAACAAATCAATTGGTGGCCTTTTACTTTCAGATGACTGTTCCTAAAACATATAAAAGTTCATGTAGCACATTAAAAAATATGATTAACTTTATTAAGTATGTAATATATGAAAGATGATAATGTTAATTAATGCAATAATTTTTTTAAATGAATTATTTTAGCAAGGATTTTAATATATATATACATATATATATATACCTCACTATTTTTAACTGGAAGTACTTGAATGAAATTCTTCTCTTCCCATGTATCTTTTGCAGTATCTAGAAATATATAAAATAAAAAAATTAAATATCAGTCTGATGTATTTGCTACAGTTTAGGCACAGAATAAACCAAATTATATAGAATGTAATGATATATTCTCTACTATTTCCCAATTACAAGTAATAATATTTCACTTCATTTAAGAATAATTTAAAACATTTACAGTTTTACTTATTTTTGTGATAAATGTGTAAAAAAAAGGGGGGAAAGGTTGCATTTTAGTACAATTCCCTAAAATTCAAAATTAATTAACATCTTTTTTCATAATGACTTATATATGATGATCTGCTGAATGTTAACGAAAAATTAACATATTAAAAATCATTCTTTTAAGCATTTGCAGCAATTCCACACATATGGAAAATAAGAATTATTACTTTTTATATGTTGTTGCTGTTGTTGTGACTATCTCACTTGTCTGACAGTAATATCATGCCATGAAATTCCTCATGGCAAAGAATGCAAGATTGTGCCTGTTGTTGGCAAAAGCCTCGAGCACCATGCAGTTAACCCATTAGCCGCTGGTGTTGCGTTGACGCAACGGTCAAAATAAATGCGTATATAAATATAACTACCTAAGATATTTTATACCAGCAGATGATTTTGTGTAGGGAATATTATGAAGATTATTTCTGTAAAAAAATATTTGCCTTCAACAATCATTTTGTTTATAATAATTAATCTCATACTTAAGCAAAATTTTTCGACCGGGTATTTTTGCTGAAAATATTTAACGAAAGAACCGCCGTCTTTATGAGTGATCTATTTTTAGTCAAGGTCACCATTTATCAGAACATTACATCAGTCAGATGTTTATATTTGTGTTGGGAAGCAAGGGAAAACAGGTATTGCACTGACGCAACATCAGCAGGAAAAGGGTAGTCAATCTCCTTTTTCACTCATTCCTTTCGATGTTCTGGTTCATGTTCTGGTTGTTTAAAAGTGCCTAGAATGAGGTATCTTACATTAGAAGAAGCCCTTCAAAGATTTTTTGATGAAGAAACAGATGATGATAATGTTAATAATGACCAGAATGAAACTTATATTGCTGTTGTTCCTCCAGAAATTGCAGAATCTAGTGACGAAGAAGAAAGGAATGGCAATGTATTTAATAATGATAATGATATTTTAGCAAATGATACTGCCGGGAAAATTGAAATTCACGTAAGAAGTAAGTTTCAGCCTTCTAAAAGCAGTTACAGTCATACTAAAGTTTAAAAAGCAGAAGACTGAAATCTTGAAGTGGATAAATGAAGAAAGAGATAGAAGAGAAATTATAAAAGACAAAATACAAAGCAAAACTAGTGCACAGATTTTCAATTTTAGTTTTCGTTTAGACATTTACTCTCTTCTCGTTGAACAGACAAATATATATGCTCAGCAAATAAAAAAAAAAAAAAAAAAAAAAAAGCGCCAAAATTTATTGCATTTGAAGCCTATATGAGAAGGATTTATTGGAACATTATGGCTTACAGGATATCATTCTTTACCTCAAGAAAAAATGTATTGGTCTTTTGATAAGGACATTTCTGTTCCTGTTGTACGAGAATCGATATCACGTTTGCAGTACAGGAATATGAAGCAGAATTTGCATTTGACAATACTGATATGAGGTGAGACCGTATCTAAACTTACTAAATATCACCACTTTTTACTACTGGAAATATAAAGTCTCTTTTAGATTTCAGATGCGAGAATGCATTATTCCTTTTGCAAACTCCTATTGAGAGTGCAGAATTAGCCATAAATAGATCAGCAACAGGAAGACCTAGTAAATTCAGCGTTCAAAAACCATTGCATGGATATGGTAGACATTTTATCGTAAAGTCCGTTGATAACGAAAGACTTTGTTGTAAAGAGTACCATAGCCAGACCGTTTATAGATGCAAAGTATGTAATGTAGCTTTACATTATGATCGTAATCAAGCTTTTCATGCTTGAATGTTTCGAGTGAAATAATCTGTATTTGTAAACGAAATACAATGCATATTTTAATATTAAATTAATTACAAGTAAAGTGATTTGTAAATTTATAAAATGTTATACAGCTAAAAAGTAATCCTGCACTCCACTTAAAAGAAACATCACATGAGTACAATCCTACTCACTAAACATCCATAGTCTTATTCCGCTGACGTTGCGCGAACGCAACACTCGCGTTTTCCACAGGTAAGAGAATTTTTTAAAAATTCAATGTAAATTTATGTTATAAATGCTTAATTTAATATTTGTTGTTATTTTCATGAGAAAAGAAACATTCCTTGTAGTTTTGGCAGTTAATAGGTTAACAGTTTGACTTTGCTCTGTTCTGTCCCCAAATTTGATGAACAGCACTTCAAAGGGGGGAGGAGGGGGGACGGGTCCAAGGGTCTCCGACCTCTCTTTCCCTACCACCAACCTCTAAAGAGGACTTTCGGCTTGTCACATATTTAGAGTGCCCCATGCCATACGGTCACCATATATTTACAAACACCCATGCCTTCTCTGGCATTTGAACCTGGGCTCTTCAGTACTGCAGTCAGACTCATTAACCACTATCCCAGTTGGGTGGCCCTTTTTTGTATTATTTTATTTACCTGTTTAACTCTGCAGGTCATTTTTGAATGAAATCTATGCACTTTTTATGAATAGCTATATGGTATTGGTTTGTGCTATAATAGTAACTGGCATATAAACAATCACAATTTTACATTAAGCTGTCTCTTATAACTAAACAGTCAGAAAATTTCTGATATATATTAATTAAATGGAAAAAACAAACTTCTCAAGCAAATATTAAAATTTTCTTCCTTATTTCAATATATATGGTGAAATACCACTAAAAATTTTAGATATGAAAAATATTCCTTGACATTTGATCAAAAGTATCCTAGAAATACATTGCTCGCCATTAAAATTGCAATACCAGGAAGGAATAATCTGACGAATGTCAAAATCGCATGAAAGGAAGAAGAGGTTGAGATATGCATATGATTATTATTTCAGCACATTTAGATGATGCAGGAGGGAGAAACGTCATTTGAAGCACTGCATAAAAGAAAAGTTGTGTAGTGTATTTCTCATTCAGAAAGTGCTTTGTAAGGTCAGGGTTTGCTCAGAATATCATGCCTCGAATAATAATAAAAAATGCTTACCAACAAGCGTCGGAATTCAACAGAGGTAGGAACGTTGCCTATAGAAAGTGTGGATTATTGTTTCGTGGTATCGTTCATCGCACTGGTCAACATCCAACCACTATCATGAGAATATGGAATCAATGGGTTGCTGAGGATCATACTGAAAGGCATGCAGAATCTCAAGTGGTTGTATCCTATTTTCGCTGCCTGCCAAATGCCATCTTCCAACAAGATAATGCAAGACCACATATTGAATGTTGTGACTGCTGCTTGGCCTGCACGGTCTCCAGATCTGTCATCCACTGAAAACATCTGGTCATGGGTTGCTGAGAGACTGGCCAGCCACACCTCTCCAGAACACGGTTGACAAAGGTGTGGCATAGACTTAAAGCAGCATGGAACAAGTTGCCCGTTTCTGTCATCCAAGCCCAGTTCATCTCCATGCCTAACCAGGTAAGGGCCGTTTTAGCTGCCACGGATGGCAGCTGTTTCTACTAATTTTAACCCCAAACTTCTTACAAATTTAATCATTTTATCTTCATGCCCTACTGTTTACATACAATATATATATATATATATATTTGTATTTGCTTTCCTTCATGGTGTTCCAATTTTAATGGCCAGAAGTGTAAATTCAAGTATCTATGCATCACTGAAAAATTAAATTAACTTTTCTTACTAAATACTACTGATTTTAAAGGACTGATATATGCATAATAAGAAAGACTGATAAATATGATAATATACTAAATACAGTAGAAATCTAGAAATCCACAAAGCTTGGGACCAGAGGTTGTGCGGATTTTAGGATTTCAGGACAGAAAAGATAATGCATAATATTCGGACTAAAAGTGCAAAATAAATAAGGCGTATTAGATACATTTAATTAAATTATTATATATATTATTGCAATAATTTATTATATGCATTAAATTATTATTACATATATAAATTTATTATATTATTCATTGTATTATATGTACACAGCATCGAGGTTTGCCGATTGCTCCTCACACAAAAATTTCCGGTTTTGGATTCCGGTGTTAGAATCACTGTTGCTATAAAATTTCAACACCTTTTCTTTATTTTTCCATATATCATACGTAATCGTGTCACAATTCCATACCATTCTGCTATAATTCGAGGAGTAGCACCTGCCTCCATCTTTTGCAGAATTTGCACTTTTTGCGTTACAGTCAATGCAACATGTTTATGTTTTTCAATGTTGCAAGCAGTAAAATCATGAATGCGTTTTTTATCTGTCATTGTATTAAAAAAGGGCTGAAATTTAAAATATTCTGAATTTATCCACAGAATATCAGGATAAAAAAAGGGCAGCAGTGAACAATCTTGTGAAATGACAATGCTCAGGAAATACAACAACGTGAATCGTGAACTTGAACTTCAAGAGTTGAGTGAATCATCTGCTTTTTTATCTCGATGCAGAAATTAGAGGGAAAAATTTGTATCTTATTTTTTAAAACTTTTTTTATGTCAATAATTTGGTATTTCTCTTATGAGTCATTATTATTCAGTAATTATGACGTCATTATTCGGTAAGTATTTTTTCTTTGATATTTCGTACTCAAAGTTGCAGTTTCCGGAACCTATAAACTGAATGTTTATATCTTAAGAGGCCACGCGGATTTCAGGAGTTGGCGGATGTTCGGTATTTGACTGTACTATTAAAGTTGCCCAGACCTTAATCACATTCAGCAAGTATGGGACATTACAAGAAGACAAAGAATCTTGCAGTTATTTGTTGGAAAATACATGCAGCATAATTTATGCTCTAAATGAGGAAGGGAAAAAAAAACTACCTCAGAATTCTTAAATTATTTGTAAATGAGTATATTAAGTGTTATGAATGGCTATCCCACA